GCCTCCAGGTTGAAGTTCGTTCACTACGCTCACTCACCTTTTGGTTGCAAATTAGCTGTTGTCATAAATGTAAAAGAAATAATAGTGCTGCACCCTGTTGGTAATTTTTGTGACTTTAATGCTATTGAACATCACAGAACAGAACCAACTTGTTTAATTGAAACAGCTGTTAAGATTCAATAATTTCATTTCTCATAAGGTTAACATGGGAAACTCCAGAGCCACTGGGGCGGAGCCCGAAAGGATTTTTGAAATAAGAATATGCCTATATGTTAATCGGGAATGTGAGCTATCATCATGCCAAATTTCAGCCCAATCCGACCAGTATTTTTCGCGTTCACTTGTCACAAACATACATCCATACATCCATACATCCATCCATCCAAACTTTCTCATTTATAATATTAGTAGGATATATTTAAGTTATTGGTGATTTTAATTGACTGGAATTGTAGACTGTAATTTTTTTTAAATACATTCAAAAGAAAACACTAAGATGGTTCTCTCACTGGTTTCAGATTTTTATTTTGTAACCATAAAGGTTGTCGCCAATTTTGATTTTGAACGAAATTCTGATCATAAATCCAAAGCAGCTTACTCGTTGATAGTTTTAATTATCAGTTTTTTCTAGACGAAGAAGTTTTCATTTTTTTAAACAATACTTTTTCCATAATACTATGGTATAGGGGAAGAAAGGTAAAAAATAGAGAAAACCTATTAACATTTTAATAGCGATGTTTTGGATTTATATGGCCAATAACATTCAAACAAAATTATTTTAATTTATCACTGTATTTGTTTTAAAAAGAACTGAACGGTGGCTGTGATGTTTATTTAAGTTTAAATGTTTAAGATTGTGCTAAATAAGCATAACATTATTAATGAACTAGAATATACATACTTATCAGACCAAGTATGAAAAAATCACTCATACAAACTGTAGAAAAGTAAGACGGAAGCTACGTCGTCTTGAAGAAAACTTTCATTCGTCACTTAAATTAAATTCCTTCTTGCAGAGAACGAAGCAGATATTATTTTCTATAAAAACATAATTTTATTCAGTTTCATTCATATTTGAGCACCCACTTCTTTACAAACATTACCTGTTGTTTGTTTTAAAGTATAAGAATAATCATACTCAATTAAAAAATTGAATGTTTCACATAAAAAAACCGGCAGTTCAGAACTGTTCTGTAAGAATTTTTTTGAAAATATTTTTCAGTGGTATATGTACGTTACCATAATTCATTTTGCTGGAGACTCTTTGTAAAAAGGTTAAGTACGAACATCGAATGTTTTAGTTGTAATGTTCAACCCTTATATGCGTCTTAATAAAATATCTATTATTAACATAAATTCGTTTTAATTTTTTTCTGAAGTAGTGCAACAGTATGTATAAGTCACATGAACAAGCCAGAGGTCATAGGGGATTGCAATGATGAGATGTATGTGGTCGGTTAAAACCAACAATATCCAAGCTATCACCTAACACCTAACCGCAACCATCGAGTTATCGTGGACGGTGTACTGCATGTTATCTGCACAGACATACTACTGCGTATTAAATAGTAATTACATAACTCACTTGCTTGTTTTATTGCTATCGAATTACAAGTTTAATTACTTTTACTTTTTCCCCCTATAGTATATGGAGAAAGTATTGTTTTCGTCAAAATTTTCGAGTATGAGTTTTGAGTGGATATATCCGTTTTGGGTCCCTTAGATCGGTTTTCGAAGTGATGTCTGTGTGTAGATGTGTACAGAGCTACAGACTACACCTGTGGTCCGATATTTATGAAGTTTGCTATGTAAATCCTAATTTATAGTATCTAAACTTTTTTCACTTTTTTGAAATTTGTATTTTTAATGGTGATTTTCCCATATAAACCCATAAAATAACGGAAAATCGTGTTTTCTCGAAATTGGCCCAAACGATTTTGGTAAAAATTTAGTGTGTTTTAGCCCTTTCAATTCTTAACAAAATTCCATAACTCTCATTTCATGTAAAAGTTACGGTTAAAAAGTGATTGTAAATTATGTTATTTTCTCATAAAAACCCATGAACAAAGGAAAAATGATTTTTTTCAGAAAAAACATACTCTGATCGAAAATTGTCTGTTCTTGTTTTTATAATTCTAAACATTGTTCAACCCCTCTTTCCTGTAAAAATTAAGGTTCAAAAGTTAATGGAGCTTTTGTGATTTTGCCTTTTAAATATCATAGTTAGTTACATTCATTGTTTACCCATGATAAAGGTTGTTGACAAGCTCATGGGAGAAAGTACGTGTCAGATTGCTGATACCGTTTATTTTGAGCTATGAAATCAAACACAGCAGCGTGCTTGCAAGGTATATATTGCTTAGTATACACTATTTTAACATGGTGTGATCTTTTAAGATTATCCATGCGACTATAACAATACAAAATCACAACACTGATATGTTGATGAAGTTTTAGAATTGATGTATTAAAACAGATTGCGAATGCAAAATAAGTATAGAATAAACTAGATGAGCTATATCTTCAATCTTCGATGTCTTTTGATCATTGCAGAGCTCATGCTGTGTAGGTCCATGGTGACGGACAGATAAGTATTTGAGAATATTACTATACAAGTAGAGATTGTGGCCTTTTTTCACTACGATAAGTAAAAACAACGTTTTACGTCGTTTTGGGAACTAAAACCTGATATTAAGGTGAGGAAGTACTTAAACCTTAACAGGAATAACACACAACCCAAGCCGAAGCTACAAAACATCAAACGTATACATATACGGCCTTGAATAAGGTAAATTCACAATAACCAAAAATTAATTAAGGGAATGATCTCACAAGAGATATTTTAATGTGTTAAACAAGGCTAATTTATATTTCACTCACGGGAAGAGGTAGCAATTTAGAGCAATATGGTTCTTCAAACCTGCTGTATGAATACGTTAGGGCCTACTCATTTTAGTAAAAAATTCTTAATTTTACTTCTTATAACTGTACATATTTATCAACTCAGGTAAGGAGTGTAAACATAGTACGGCATAAGAGTTACTGATATTATTTTAAAAATACAGTACCTATGGTATATGGTTTAATAAAACAACGTATTTTAAAGTGAAGACCCAAAATACTTTCCTCATAATTATATGTAAGGCACAATGAATATAAAATAATTCAATAACATACCATATTATAGCAAAAAAATCTATCAACTTCACAGATACTCAAAAATACTTTAAATATGAAGTTAGTTAAGAAAATAGTTAAGAAGTCAGTAAGACGGAGACATAAGAGGATTTCAACATTAAGATCGAGAGTTTCAGTTTAAGATCTCCAAGATTAAGGTCTATGTCTATTTATGGTATATAGGCCTATGCTCTATTCCTGCACAATTTCAACTCAAACAATCAAATAGTTTTCATGTGAAAGAAGCTTTCACAAACAAGCAAATTTAACAATTTTTTATATCAGTAAGGTATGATTTTATCATCGCTACATTTTTCCAACAATCAAAATCAGTTTTTACCACTCTTTTAGTTTTAAATATCTTAAATACACCTTAACAGATGAACCAATACTAAATTTAGCTCACCTTACTTGGACGAGTTGTTAAATTCTGTGGTAAATCTTCGTCACAAAACCACGTGGTGTTGTGGTTCACGAAGGTAAGTCCTCCACGTAGCCTGTACCGCGTCCAGAGGCGCACTGAACTTGAGTCTCATAGGAAGTGTTCAACAATGCAACAATGGGCTGGTAAGGTGGTACACCCCACCACCCAAGTGACGTCATCACCACCTCCTGCTTACCTTTAGGAAACAGCTGATTTGGTTTTAGACTATTTATGCTATATGTGTGTATTGGAAGATGAGTCAGTAATTGATATTAATGGTTCTTAACGTTATACATTATATAATTACGGGGTAAAATTATTAAAAGTACGCGAGGGCTGATAGTAACATGAATAAAATTTGTGATTTGTGTAAAACAAATAAATTATGGAATAATTCTTTACATTATAAAGAAAGATAGATCAAAATGTGTATTTTTCCCCTTTCAGCGAATTTCCCATATAAGGAAAAAGCTATTACCATAGGTCTTCATGGTAAGTTGGGGCTGATTTTCTTTTTCTTTTTGATGTCCCCTTAGGCCTATAACTCCATCTGTTCAAATTCATGTTAATATAATAATATCCTTTAGAACGATAACTCGTGTAAAAATCATTTAATATTATTGAAATTTGGCAAAATGTGTAAACGGATTGTCGGACTACATAAACAAGGTTTCATGGGGTCAAAATGGGTTCCCCTATTAAAAACTTCATCCCACTATACTTCAAAACATAAACTTTTGCTCTTTATTTCCATATAATTTTTTTATAAAATAATAAAATAATATTTTAGTCCTATGCTTCGTTGCTTTGCTGTAAATTGTTCTGGAGATATTTCCAAAAACAGCAAATATGGAAAGCCCTTTTATTGATAGTGAGAATAAGTAAACTGTTGTAGTTTGCTTATTCATGAATATATTTTAATTAAACTTGATTTATTTATTTATTTCATGCTAAGCTACGAACATTTTACAACAAATGACCTTCTAACCCCGTAGCAGAAAACCTATTTACTCAATACACTTAATGCCATTTAAATAGAAAACTAATCTGACATTTTAGGGAAATATCCTATTGGAAACCCAATCAGGCAAATGGGAATTAGCTTTGTCTCCAGGCTTGCTGATGCGGGGGTGTTAAAATCATTTAGTCCTATAAGTTTTATTGGCTAATCAGTAGGACATATAAAAAAACACTTCTGTTTCAAGTGAAATTTTATTAGAAAATAAAATATAGCCATGACTATCTTTCTTAAGGCAATCCCTCTCATATTATCCCAGGGCTTTGAGTAGTAAAACTAAACTAATAACTAATAACTTACAGAAATAAGAATTACATGAATAATGTATGCTACTTACCGTTAGCATTTTTAGGTTTCAAGTTTCAAATAAAAATACACTTACATCATCGTTTCTTTTCTTCCATTTTCCTTTCTTTCGTTTTTTAATACTTAACCTTAAGATCATGCTTTTGACTTTTGGAGACTAGGAAGACTTCTCATTTTAATTAATAAGCTGAAGGAAATGTTTAATTAATTCAACTACATTCAGTTTCATTATAAAAGTAATGGATTGGTAAAGAAATAAAACTAGTGTCTATCGTCAATACAAAACATAATACATGAACAGTACATGATATAAGATATAATAAATATTTAGCAAAATTAAAAACATTAATTTTAGTACAATGTATTTGAGAAAAATAAGGACATATCAGCTTGTACAAAATACAACACAATCATATCCAAACAATATTTACGATTAAGTTTCAAGTAACCCAATTATCCCAAGTTCCATTGAACCTTTCTGGATCGCTGTCCAAATCAAAAAATATTATATCATCTGGAATTGCGTCCAATTTGTAATTATCTAAAACAGCCCCCATGAAAACACCTAAAATCGGATACTTCCAAAAAATGTTCTCCTGTTCACAAGCGTCTTCTGCCAAGTCGAATATACAGGGTGTGTCGTCACAGTTCAGAGGTGAGGTGTCTTTCCTCTCACACGAAATCGTCGCTTTTTTCCTCATCTTGATTACTTGTGAAGATGGTAGACGATATTTCCTCAGCTTCTTCGTTTGAATCCAAGTCTTTGAAGTGGTCACTTGAGTGACGTCATAGCTCGGAATATTCCTGGAAGTGATGGAGTCGAAGTTCAGATAGCTGCTGTGGTCAGCTGCATCGTCGTTGTACTGTAGGTACGAAGTCGCTCCTGGACAGATGTTTTCACTCAATTATTGATTATAGACATTGCATTAGAATTGACGAAATATGATAAGTCTTCCTAAACACTAAGTAGTTTAACCTTACCTTAATAATATATTGCAACTTGAATCACTTATATTCTATACTATTGATTGATCTCAGTTTCCGACAGGATGGAAGCCACTAGTTACCAGGTCTATTCAAAGAATATTTATGGGTAATCTTGGGTAATCTTATGTTATACAGATCACATAAGGTTTTATCTATTATATCCACCACACTGGGCAAGGTAAGATTAGGATATAATTTGTAGATATGCAAATGTGATTGAATTAACCTGGTGTGGTCATTTCAACGGAAGAGTACAAATTCAATTAGCCACAGTAAAATTAAATATGTCATACAGTTGTGTTTAAGGACGCATTCTACTTTGTCCACATGTTAGACCCAAAATAAGCTGCATACACATGAACACAAGCAACATATCCATTGTTACTCAAGTAATAAAAATAGTGGATTGTGTAGTGAACAATTTATTACATTCTCTGATAGAAAAGACTTGAACTACGAATATTTTAACGGTATCGTTCGTTCCCGACCTTGTGAGTCACTAATATATTTAATCAGTTCCGTCCATTCTTGTACTTAAATGACTTACAGCTTGTTTTACCTAATACATTCCACCTAAACTCACAGAAAAATTCAAGGTTGAAATTACTGTAAATCTTTTAAAACGAATAAGTGAATTTTAAATGGAAAATTGTATATCAATTTCCGTCACCCTGTAAGATTGGGCACAGAAAATTTAGTTTTTAAAATAACACGAAAACTGCACTGGTTACAACTCTAATTGATATTTGCTCACCATAAATGTATTTGTAGTGTCCCATGATGATACTTCTCATATTATTAGTATCGTACAAGTCCAATAACAGAGATGTCCGAGGACTGGGCAGGTCGTAGCAGATCGATAGCCACTGGTCTACACCATCAATATACGTCAAGGGCTTTTGGTAACCTGTGTGTCAATGCAATTAAATGTCAATACTATCAGTCACCATGATACCAATGGTAATGGGGTAAAAATGCATGGATCTCAATATCACCTCAGAAAATACCTTCAAACAATATAAAATCGTTTAATAGGCTGAATAAGGAAATGACGGCAGCCAAGTCATTAGAAAACAAATTTATAATGATTTCGCAAAATACATTTAACGAGAATACTTCTGGTTTTTTACCTGTCCATTCATCTAAAAATTCTCGGACGTTGGTAAGTATATTAAATAGGTCTTTTCAACCAAACACGTATTATTTGCAGTTTAGGCTATAATGTTTGCAGAGAGAATATAGTCATGTGGCCATTTTTCTTTTGGAGCTACTTAAATTGTGTCTGATTGCAGTAATATTCCCAATTTTCCATTTTAACGATACAATATACCACATGGAAATTTGTGCGCCCATACTACTTGTTTAGATTCATAGTAAGATCAAGCTACAGTAAAAACACTAAATCTTGAGAAAAACCTATTACTAAGGTAAAATTGTTTCAGTTTTAAATCCTAAAAAAGTTGCATGAGATTTTTTGGAAATATTGATTCTTAAATCCAGTTTTTAGATTTTCTTGTTGTATCAAATTGAGCAAATGTTTTTATACTAATATCTTACTATAATAGTTTTAACAGGACTTGATTTGTCTATTCCAGTTGATCTAGTACTTTCTTTACTTATAGTGTTTTAAAATAAGGTTTGAATGGTCCAGGATTCTAGTTTCATAAATGAGATGTCGGTAGGAGGGGAGGTGCTGCTGCCAAGTGGCCATGTTTCAAACTATAAACTCTGCGTATAAAAACAGAACATCAAACCATTTTCAGCAATTACAATTATTGATTGTTGTGAGTAAGCCGTGAGTAACACCATCCCATTATTGTATGGTATTTTAGGTACAAATTAGACAAGAGACAAGAAATATGTTACAACAAAAACACTTATTTCGAGATTAAACATGTGTTAAGAGTTAATTCGAGAGTGGTGACTTATTATCTAACATACCAAGACATAATAATTTACAAATAAAAATTCATTTTAAAAATAACGTTTTTAAAAGAGCTAAAAAGTAGAAAATAGTTTATAAATACGTGGAGAGAATAAATACTTGTAAGACTTAAAACGAAAATAAGTGGGGCGCATGCAATAGCTATTATTATTTTCATTTATTGAACTATTATTATCTATTGCATGTGACGTTTTAAATATTACAAGTATTTATTCTCTCCGCATTTTTATAGACTATTTTCAACTTTTTAGTTAGTTTAAACACGTAATTTTAATAAGTTATTTTTATTTAAACTATATTTTCTACTTGTTAGTCTTTAATGTGTAAATATATTACTATAACTCTATTTCATATAGCCTGTTTATACATAAACAAACCTCTGTTAACTGTGATCATAAGTTGTTGCTACTATTCTCATACAGAAATTATTATCCTAAAACTTTTGAATCTCTCGGGAGCAGAACCTGTACCTCTTAACCTCTGCTCTTTGGACAAACTGTCTAATTATTATTTATAGCTGACTTTAATTGATATATTTATATTCTTGCAAAATGTAAACATTGAAAATTGGGAAGCCCATGGGGCGTATTTAATTTAAATATGAAAATAAAATGATATAACATTGCACTGCCATTCATTTTTAGCTATGTTTCAAGATTCAAGTCTAGCACATCGATTGCAGTTGGTTTAAAATCGATTGCAAAATTTGTACAGACAAGAAAGCGAGCTAATAAAAAGTTTTAAAATACCGTTATGTTTTATGATTTTATTACAATAGAAGTGTAAATATGGAAAATTTCACTGAAAATTTAGGTTAAGCCATTTTTTCGCATTACGAGAAGTTCTTGGAGGCTGCTGCTGCAATGAGCAAAACGTTGAACCACTTGGAGATTAGTTGAAACGACGAATTCAATAGTTTACTTATTCGTTTATGTTATCTATAAATGAGTATTAAAGTAGGCTACTAAGGATTATATTTAGCCTAAAACTACTTCAAATCAACAATTTAACTCAACATTTTGTAAAAGTTGTTTAAAGGCATATTAAGCCAAATAACAATTACAAGGTTATTTACAATTATAGTAATATTTTGTTTGTTTATCAAAGTCTACCATAAAACTATATTTATTAGCTAAGGCAGAGATTCTATTACTATTTGTCATACAGCTTCTTTATTAGCATTGTGTTCTTTACATTTAAAATCTATGGAGGGAAGTTAAACTTTTACAGCAAAAAATAATATTGAATTGTGAATAATTATTGTTATTCTGATTAAATAATTGATCAAACAATAGTCTTACGGAAAACTAGTGAACTGCTATCCGATGATCCTAATACACCAATTACCTTAAATATAAAATACCGAACTGCACACGTTGGCTATCGGATTGGAAACCAAGTGTATTTAAATATGTTGATAAAAATGTGGTAACTTATTTGTGCCATGGGTACCAACTGAAATTTGCTTTCAAAAGTTCTTTCTAAACACTTTTGTTGAGCAAACAAACACACTTACAGAAACAACCTTCCCTCTATAATATAAAACATCAATTGAAAACTTGAACCTATGTTTTTAATCAGTTCCCTAAAATATCAGTATGGTTTGTTTAGTTGTAATAATCTTTACAGGATCAAAAATAGACCAAAAATATATATTCTTTACATTGTTAAAGTTTGCTATCAAGTTTCACCCTTGTTTCTGTAGAGTTCATTGTATTTTCCACATACCTGCAGCTCTAAGCAGAGTAGGCAGCCAATCGGTGACGTGCATCAGTTCCTCACTCACCCTAGAGGGGTTGGAGATCAGAGGGCTCCAGACCACTGAAGGAGTTCTCACTCCGCCCTCCCACAAGGTGGCCTTGTGCTGCAGGATTAAATATAACTTTAAACTGTGTAGTCAGGACATCGAATTGCAAAGAATTGTTTGGAAGTGTTATTGACAATAGCTTGTGGAGCTGATCTGCAGAAGGCTGTTGCTTTAAATAGATCCGAGTACTTGTTATGGGGGGGGGGGGGGGGGGTATTTGGTTTGTGTGGGGTGCTTAGGCAACTCTTTCGTTTGAGACCCTTTGGGAAAGAGTAAACCCCCTTTGAGGAAGAGGTAAAAGGTGTTTCCCCTTGGGTCCAGGCAAGGTTATCTTGTTTCGCAATTGGGATTTGTACTTTGTTTCCTTTTTTTTATGTAAGGAAACTTTTTGCAAAATGATGACTTATTTTTCTAAAAGAGGCTCATAAAACGACATATCGTTTTATTATATTACGTAATATCAGCATATAACGTATTCAACGTGTAATACGTATTTGATTACATATGGCAAACAGTGTGTGGTGAATATTTTTGTGAACTATTCATTGAATATTTCAAAGGTGCAAGATCGACATTTTTATATTCACGGCTGTTTTAATAACGGAAACCCTCGATAAGAATAAGTATACAAAATAACATAATAAATAAAATGAATAAATAAAAAGATAGCAATACAAAGTGACAAGACAAAAAGAAGAAGAAAGTAAGATTATGAAAACGATCTTTAAGGGAGCTAAACAATCAAAGCAATTTTCCCCTGTTGAAACCGTTGTTTTGGTTTCTAATTTAAACAAAATTCCTTGACAAAACACTATTAGGTTGAAATGAACACTTACGCCTCTCCAAGGGTAGTTAGAGCCCCAGTTATTGAAGTGGCCAAGATTGGGAGCACCGTTGTCAGAGAGAAACACAACTATTGAGTTTCTCAACATGTCCTTTTCCCCTAAAGCTTCCACAACTTCCCCTACGGAATCGTCTAGTTTGGACATCATTGCTGCAATAAAATTCAAAACTAATTAGAGATTCTTATAATGCTTTTGAGATTAGGTATATATTTATCAAGTAGGTGCAAATAATTCTTAGATATTGAGAACATTGGATAGCATTTTTTAGACAGGCTGTAGTTATAAAATAGGAGAAACATAATTTTCTTCTACATACCAGCATAGGTTCTTCGGTTAGGGTCTGGTATGTACCGGAAGCGGTCAACAACTTCCTGTGGTGCCTCCAGAAGTTTCCCTGCGTTACCGGCGTGGACGGCCAGGTGATTTAGGAGGAGGAACATCGGGACGTTTGGAGGATGTTCCTTGATTAGCCGGACGGCCTCCCTGGAGAAGAGATCCGTAGCGTACTGTCCAGAGAGTTCCCAGGCTACTGTGTTGTCGCGTCTCATATCGTAGCCAACCAGAGTCTTATTACCTATCTGCAAAGTAAATTGTTAATTGAGAACGGACGCCATCTAGGGGCGTACATTACCCCAAATATGATTGAAGCATGAGTGTAGAATTGTGTGAAATGATCTGCGTAGCTGTTTCATTGGCCAGAACCATGTATTTAAAGCCCAAAGATCAGGAACAGATGGGTCAAGCTCGAACCATAAAAAATACATACTTTTCTCCAACATTTTGATTGGTGGGAGAGCTTTATAACCACTCAGCTACCCAGCCAGTTAAAAATGACACAATAAAATTATATACAGTATAAGGGTCCTGTAAGCTATCATACTTTGTCAAACCAAATGTAGTAAATACATTACGGTCATATCACACCAAGGGTATTAGTGTAAGAAAGCTGAACTACGATGCGGTCCTACCAGGCTCTGCTGTCGCAAAACTGCATCTTGTAACATATCGCTTACCTAGAAAGCACAGTTATTTTATTCCTTGTAATCGTAAAATATGGTCTACTGTGGTCAAGTATTGTTTCTCTGGCTAAGCCGTTGTCAAACTGAGTTTTGTCAGGGTTATTAACAATGCTTGAGCTTGAATAACCTAGATACTTCTCTATGATTACAGGACACATTATTATAAATCAGTGTAATTCATTTATATTTGAAAACACTAAATGCTAAGTATGGCTAAGCTCAACCATTTCTAGATTTGGTCAGCGATCCATTTTACAATTGCTTGAAATTATTTGGTATTTGTATTACATTCTCTAAATTCATCATTTTTTTATTGTTTAACAAGCTTGGTTAATTTGAGAAAAACAAGATTTTTTTTATAATTCCCTTCTTTATCAATTAAATTTTATGGGAATTCCTTCAACAGCAGTCTTAATAATTCGTTATAAACATCACAGATTTTTACAAGTTTAACAATAAATAAAGCACAAATACACTATTGGTAATAAAAGTGTACACAGTGGAATGGTAACAAAATATTCCAAAACAATCATAAGAAAACAAACTGGTCCTAGTAAAAAAAATATGTAAAGATGTGTATATTGATGAGGGTTTTTAACGTTTAAATTAAATAATAAAGTAGTTACAGGCATTGCTAAACAGACATCATGGGGTTAGAACGGTATATCTTTAAATATACAAAAACACCCTCTTGTGTCTAACCTTCACCTAAAATTAATAGAAATTATAAATTTCAGGTAAAAAAACACGTACACTGTAAATGAATGTATTGTGAGGCACGTTTTTATTTGTAAAGACAGTAATCAAGTTTTACCCGCTCCTCGTGTACGTGGTCGTAATAGCTTTGCGAACCGCCCCAGTAGCCGAGGTGTGAGTCGAACCCTCTTTGTAAGGGCGTGAATTCCCTCTTGTAGAAACCCAAGTGCCATTTACCCACCACGTGAGTAGCGTATCCAAGTTCCTTTAAATACTCTGGCAGTATCTTCTCCGTCAGCGGCAGAGCTGATTTTTGAGTAGAGTAGTAAGGCCAGTGCTGACCTAAAGACACAATTTATGTCATAAAGAGACAGTAACACTTCATAGACCAAAGGAAACAAAAATACCCCCGCCGCAGCAAACCTGCAGACTAAGCGAATTTCTATTTGCCTGATTGGATTTACACTAAAATGTCTCCTTAAAAATATCACATTTATTCCCTATTTAAATAACATTAGTTTAACGAGTACTTAGATTTGCTACAACAGAGGGGGTAAAAAGGTGTTTTTTGTAAAATGTTAGTAGATTAGTAGTTTATCTTGGAAATGAATGCATTTTCCAAATTTGATCAAAATATGATCATAAACGAGCAAACTACAACAGTTTACTTATTCTCCATAAGAATAACATGGGAATTTTAAATTTACTGGTTTTTGGAATTTTCTCCGTAACCATTAGGCGCATGATAACGCTTCAATATACTAAATTATTTGTTTTTTAAGCTCTACAAAATCGTTTGGAAAGAAAATGCTAAATTTTCAGTTTTTAGGGTCAAAAATGGGGAAAACCAATTTTTGCCCCATAAACCCCCATAAACCCCTGTTCCCATAGTCCGATCATGCTGGTTTGCGAACTCGTCCGAATAAACGTAGTTTTACACATTTGTACCAAATTTCATCAAAATCGGATGATTTTTGCTAGAGTTATCGCGCTAACGGACATATATATATATATATATATATATGAATTCAAACAGATGGTGTTTTTGGTCTCTAGGGACCTCAAAACGAAAAAGTAAATCGGTCCTGGGTCTAGGTCTTACCATGAGTACTACGGTAATAGCTTATTCCCTATATGGGAAATTTGCTGAAACTTAAATATAAGGAGGCTCATTGTTTATATAAGGGATGACCTAGATTCATTGTACTTTAATCGGAGAAATTGTCATTCAGCGTTTTCTCCATTAGGGAAACATTTTTTGGAAAAGGGTGTATAATATAATGAAATATAATAAAGAAAATTAAACAATTATTTTTAAAAAGTGGTATACTTTGAAGATTTGGTTATATTGATTAATTTATCTGTCCAAATACACATAGAAACATATATGAGAAACATTTGTCGACAAAACATAATTCCAAGGGTTGATGCGTGATTATCCAACGGAACATCTTTTAAACAGAATTAGACCGTATGAACTTCAATGGGGGGCTATATCCAAATTGATTTATTTATAGACATTTTATTGCTCGGTTGGTCTTAATATTTTTATTTATATAATTTAATAATTTATATAGTCCATTGGGTTCCGTGACCATGTGGTAAATATAATTAGCACCCATTATTTGAATCATCTTTCAAATACTGGAAACGTTCTGGCAAAACCGTCATGGCGGCATGGCAGCCCATAAGGCCCATGTTAAATATCCGATAGAGTTAATATGAACATTAGAATGTTTCTGGTATTGAAACTATTTTTTGAAACCGAACATAGTTGAACCGTTTTAAGTATAAATATGTTTTTGGTGGAGTTCGTAGTAACACGCAAACAAAAGTTACGCATAGTATAATTTATCGGTATACGATATATATAAATTATAATCAGCTCAGTTTTAAACAACGCCGAGAAGAAGGAAAGTAAAAGGTTGTTCTTGTGCATTTCATGTTGTCACATCTAATGATTCGGACAGAATAGCCTCCAACCCTAACTCATTAAAGTTGAATTTGACATGCGTCACATCAGTGTTCCAATTAAATATAATTAATAACAAGAACGGAATTAACTCAATTTGAACCATACATAATAACAATTCTCCACAAAGAAACTGTAAATGTAAATGACAGTAAATTACATGAATGTAACCATAGTCCCATCCTCAAAGTTTCGTGACAGCATCTGGTCAACGGGACGTCTCCATGTTTGACCATCATCCATTCTAACACAATAAAGAATATTACTATATTTATTTTCCACTATCCCTGCAATTTATTTGGTTAGTTCTTGTACCCTCAATCTGGTGAACTTTAGGCACCATTTTAGGCACTTAAGAATTTTGTTTTCAGTCTGGGTTTTTCTAGGCCTATTTGTTTTAGTTTTATTGTAAGCTACTACTTTATGGTTGCTGTTTTTTCAACATCTTGGAACAAAAACGTTTTTTCTTGAAGCAATTTGGATCTGATATCTAATAGCTACAGTAACTCTCTTTGAACTTCATCCGCAAAAGTGTATTAGCAACGGATATCTGACAAGACACATGGTTAAACTCACGGTTTGAAGTTAGATTTAACAACTCCAAACATCTTAACTTTTTCATTGGGTTCCTGAACTCTAGACACAAATATTTGCTGTGCATCCCTAGTACTTGGCTTAATCTCATAGATTATTACGCTCACTTTTATGATACACTAATGACGAAGATAACAGCGTATAAAGACACATTTACATCAATGTTCCAAAGATGTTACAGAATATACACCTTTATCATACAGATATTCTGTATACCTGTGTGGATAGGGTGTCTGCCGGTCATCAATGATGCCCTGGTAGGGGTACAGGTAGGCTGGACGTAATGTCTATTGAGAATCACCCCATTGTAGCCCAGAGAGTCAATGTTAGGGGTGGGGATCTGGTCAGACCCGTGGAAACTGACGTCGTTCCATCCCTGGAAATGGAACAAAACTTACGTGGAACAAAAGTGAAAATTTAACAAATGTACTTACCTCGTTCCATAACTGTAAGGAGAATCCAAGAGTAAAACGTTTAGAAAATTACAGTAAAAACTGATTTATTTAATCCATTCAAATGGAACACTATATCCAAGACACTAAAAATAATTAATTGTTCCGAAGAAACCTTTAAAAATAGCAACTATGAGCAGCAACAGAGACGTGGGGTGACTGAGGCTCTACAATAAGCCTCAAATCTGGTTATGTCTATATATTTACCATCTGACTATCAATCATTGCCTCACTGGTAATGGAAGACAGTGAATTTCCGTTTTGACCAAATCAGATGGAGAAAAACCAGCAGTGACTATAGTGATGAGAATTTTGCCAAGGCAACATAGCAATGAGCAATATCTGGCTTATCAACTTAAACACTTACTACTGAACTACCGGAAATGATTTTAGGCATTAATATTTTGTGCAAAATAATTATTCAAATAAAACATAAAAATAATGGCTGATGTTCGTTAATAATGGCCGTTTTACTCGCCTGAAAATATTGGATTAAGCTTAGAAGAATAAAATATTGTCTACGCCCATTTACATGTAAGACCTTTTCGATTTTGTATTTTTTTATATGGATTAAAATCAAATATACGTCAAACACTATTCGATATATTCAATCTTATGTTTTAAACATAATATTGTGGAGAATATATATTCAGAATCCGAACTTCTTTTTGCTAGAATGTGGAACAAAATAAATGACACTCACTTCCAAAATATAATCAAAAGCAGTATCAATTACAAATGTTCAATTGGACATCATTTTTAGATTGATTAACCCTTAAAAATCTTTTCAATAAGGAAACCTCTTAAGCAATTTTATATCCACGTCCTAGGTGGATAAGAATGACATTAAACAAGCGGAATGAGGCACATAGGAAAAGGAAGGTTTTGCTAAATTGTCGTTCTGTATTATGCAGTTTTCATTTAATTTTAGTTTTTGATAAAAGATGAGGTTAAAATAACCAGAAATGTCCGTACGTTGTTGATAAAAAAAACTATCTGCATATCTGCCTAGGGCTCAGGTTGAAAATAACTCTATGAAAACAACTACAGTTGTCTGAAGTCAAATCAGCCTTTTAGTTCTGATCAAGAGTTCCTAAAATGGAACACAGTAACACAAAAATGGATTGTAAAAGCAGTCGTAAGCTGCTAGAAGAACTCTTTTATCAGTAAAGAAACCCGTCTTCTAGGAGTAAAAATACCACTGCTGAGCTTGTTGTGTCGGTTTATTAAAAAAATGTAAATATATTATGGTCTACTAGGACAACTCCAATAGATGTCATGTATATTTACCGTACTCTAAGGTTCTAAAAAATGTTTAAATTAAGTTAAAGTAATAATTTTGAGAAATTGTAATTTTATAAAAAGATTTATATATAGGGTCAAATTATTAATCATATAAGTTTTTTTCCCAAATATAAACATCAAGGGAACCACCGGTGACATATTTATGCAAAGACGCAATTTTGATTCTCAGGTCTCTGGTAATAACCAGTAGAAATGGTCAAAATAAATCAAAATGGTTACAAATTGTTTTATTTTTGTTTACATATATTGTTATGTTTATTCTTTCTGTCTCCTAAAGCTTGACAGTAAGAAATTCAGGACTATAATGGTGGTTTGGATTGTGTTGTAATAAAATATTTCCTCCAATAATCTAGCGATATTTACACTGCCACTGTGATATTTAACAAGAAATTATAAATCGAGTTTATGATTTGCTGTATGGCACTGACAATTGATGTATACAGGTTGCCCCGTAAGTAAACAACCCAACTCCAGTAAGTTGTCCTATGGGTAAAAATAAATAAAAAACCAAGAATGAAACTTTTGCCGTCCAATTCAAAATGACGGCCATTTACACTTTTAAAGTTTAAATTACAAAAAGTGCAGATATTTTGAAAGAATGTCAGGAATACTTATATTTAGAATTTAAAATGTCCTATTTAACACCAAGTTCAACAAGAAAGACGGATTTAATTGAGGTCGAATAAGGTGCAACCTGACTAGCTTTAAATATATACATCGTAAACATCTTAACATTGTATACAACATGTGGAAGAGTAGTATAAAAATAAGCTAGTCATAATAAGGCCAGTTGGAGATTTCTAATAGCTTGCAGGCTTAAATTCCGAGAAAAACCTTCGACGTTAACGTTGTTAAATTTACTGCAAAACATAATCCTACCTAGGGCGTTATTTAGATTCACTTCTATTGAAAACTGTTCACTTCTGTTGAAGTCTTCGATTATGCCAAATGGTGACTAGTATAGGTCACAATAGTAACATACCTTAGAAATATATACTGTGCAAATTGTAATTATATCGACTAGTATTTTTTTTATCCGTAAGATAGCACCGAAAGTAAAATCTCAATCTAGAAGTTTTTTTACAACAAAAACAAGTATCAAATTAATCTTAGTTAAACTACAAACCATATCATCGGCCATGATGAATACGATGTGTGGATTATTCGCTGCATTGCTCCTACTAATAAGCCACACAGAATACAGGTAAACACAGAATCGCAGCACAACAGGGCTCATAGCTGAATGGAGCTGGGTAAGCACTTTATAGAGGTATTTACTCTTTATCTGTAGATTACAAATCCTAAATACTGCTAGAAATTACCCAGCAAAGCTCTATAGTGTAATTTAGACCAATTCAGTGCCGTTTAAGGTTATGCCTACATAACAACAATGATAATTATCTACGACGATGATGATTATGATAAACAAACATAACTAGAGGTCGTCCAGTGGTCGAATACTCGACTAAAAATATGTAATGTACAGAGCCACTATTTTCACCCCAAGTTGTAAATAAAATAAAACATGTAATTGGAATTTCTTCCATTTGTTTTGATTTTCTGTTTATATTTCGTCGTTATTTCGCCACCAGCATAGCAACCCATAAGGCAAATATAATTTTTTTTTATTTGGAATTAATTTTTGTGCTTATTTTTGAACCTATTTTAATTTATAACGGGATCCTGCACACATACAGGAAAATATCTTTTTACCAGTATGCATAGATTTTCTCTGCGATGCACACGAGCTGAGAAAAAAGGCTTTAAAGCAACATATTTGCCTATTAATATATCGATATTTTTTAAATTTATTATGGTTTACTATTATATGTTGTTATCACGAATATTCCTTTATGTAACTGAGTGCGATTGTGGTTTTAATTATTTTGTTATGTTAACCAACTAAAGTATACACTTTTTATTTCATGCAGACCCAAATATTAAATTGATTATGTAAAATTAAGCAAAAATATGTACACTGTCATTACCCAAAACAAATAAATAAATAATCCTAGTAAACATTTGGACATTTTTACGAACAATGTACTTAGGCTAATATTTTTGGTTCTTAATGTAAAATAAACATTGGAACAAATTATATTTTTTGACACACATGTTTGTTAAGCAACATGACTTTCAGACTATAGAACAGTTAATCTGGATAGCCTCCGAATTTTCAAGAAACAATTAAAATGGTGTAAATACCTGTAATCTTGATAATCCAAATTGTTGCGTTACAAATCAAAATGGAGCCGTCTTCAGGTTTTTCCAAGGACATTGTCGCTTCTTCGGACAAGGTAGTAAAAGTGCATAAATATTTACAGAACATATATCACATATAAAACACACAACACGCATGACTAGGCAGCTTTAACAACGCGACCGGCGGGAGTTTATGTCTACTGTAGACTGTCGGGTACTATGGTCTGTGCGCCTTATCAGTAACAGGTTGTTTGTGGGTTTTATTTTTCTTCCTCTCCCTTTCCATTATTTCTATTGTAGCGTTGTGAATAAAATAAGATGCAAATGAAAGCTCGTTTAGCACGTTTTGTTTGTCTGATTTGTCTGCCTTATGAATCTCGAGTTCTTCCAATGCGTTGATCTGAAACTTGTTTTTATTGTAATGTGTAGCAGTTTAGACGTAAACTCCCACCGGTCACGTTGTTAACGCTCTTAGTCATGCGCGCTGTGTGTTTAATAGGTTATGTATGTTTTGTAAATATTTTTGAACTTTTACGACTTTCAGAAGAAGTGACAATGTCAGTAGTGGTGAACCCAGAAAGATAAGTCACTTTAGGCGTTTTTTCCCATAAGAATAACATGGGGATCATTTTTTGGCCACCAAAACCAAAAATCCTGATCTTTGCTCACATATCCCTATAAAATTGTCAAACCTTATTTCTTACTTATTTCCCATAAATATATTCGATATTAAGCTAAAAAAGCTATTTCTTATATTTATTGACCCTTACAAGTGTAAATGTAGAGTAGTGGTGAACCCACAATATGACATCACTTTAGGCACGTTTTCCCCATAAGAATAACATGGTGAGCTTTTTTTGACCACTTTTTTAAAAATCCAGCTCTTGGCCTATACAAGCCTATATAAATGTTCAATACCATTGTACAACTCCATTACTATTTCAAATCCACATCCATTCACATCTATATTCTCAAAATCGATCGAGGTTTGTACGCGAACTCGGGCGCGCTCCCGGCTCATGGCGCGCTCCCTTGGACATCCTTAGTGGAAATCCATGAATTCTGGCTACTTGGGAACCCAAGCCATTTGACATATAATAAATCACCTTTTCTCCTAATAACCTTTTCTATCAAATACATGTCTTTATATTTGGTCTTTAACAATTCCTCTGTATAGAAGCCTCCCCTGATTATATTACCATTTTCATCTTTCAAGATATAAGTCACAGGCTTTGTATTCTTTACTTCTGCTATTGTAAATAGCTCCCCTGTCCAATTCGGGGTATATCCTTTACTAAAAACATGTTTATACTTGGAAATTCTCACACTATCACCTACCTTATATCTTGGCTTTTTAACTTGCACTACTTTAGAAGTCAACCTCTCATGAACATATTTACTGTTCTTAATATTCACTTGGTTAGGCTTCATTCCTATAGATCTATGCACCTTATTATTATATTTTCGAATTAACTTTGGAAGTAAATCCAACCATTTATAACTCCCCTGAGCACTAAATTCCCTATATAACCAATTCTTTAAAGTTCTCTGAAACCTCTCCACAATTGCAGCCTTAGTTGTAGAAAATGTGTGATAGTGATTAATATTTAATTGTTTCATTAGTTTGCTAAAATATTGATTAAAAAATTCTTTTCCATTGTCAGATTGAATGTTTTTAACCCCCTTTGGTAGAATGGTTTTAATGGCTTCTGTAACCACCAAACCCGTCTTATTCTTTAGCGGAGCAGCATAAGCTTTTTTAGAAAATGTATCTATTAAAGTTAAAATATATTTATTGCCAGAATTCTCTCTAGCATAGTTTTGCATATCAATTAAATCTATTTGTACAGTTTCGTTTATACCTAATACTTTAAAAGACCTTCTAATGAAATTCTTTCTCGCAGGCTTATGAAGTTCGTATGCAATTTCATTCATTTTTTATAACATCATTCTTTCCTTGTACTGTAAATATATTACCATTAGCCCCAATCAATAGATTATCTTCCATTCTTTTAAATACATAGTTTTCTGGTATATATGGTCTATTATCTATATACTTAAATCCACTCAAAGATGTGGGGTCAGCAACTAATAAATCAGGATTATATTCCATCAAATTAAATTTTCTTCCTGCATATACAAATTTTGATCCATCATAATACATAGCTTGTGACATCAAACAAATATCATCTAAATATTCCCCCATCGGTAGATTTCTTATATATTGTTTTTTGGCATCCCAACATTTTTCTTTTTTATCAAAAGTTATAGTCTGTTCTTTTGTAACACAGTCAGTGTCATCAATGGCAGGTTTAACACATACTAACCTTTTATTATTAAAATCCCAATAGCCTGCTTCCATTTTTGGAACTTGTGAAACATTCACAGCATCCTTACTATCTGTACCTTCTATCAAATTGCTAAGTTTCTGTTTCTTAGCATTCCAAACACCATTCTCTGATTCTAAAAATTCATAATTATTATCATCTTGTACAAATTTACCATCTTCTTTTCGTATTAAAGTCTGTTGTAAAGTGGGCACATCATTTAAACTTTCACCCTTTTCTACATTAGTAATTTTCCGTTTCTTAGCATTCCAAACACCATTCTCTGATTCTAAAAATTCATAATTATTATCGTCTTGTACAAATGTACCATCTTTTTTTCGTATTAAAGTCTGTTGTAAAGTGGGCACATCATCTAAACTTTCACCCTTTTCCACATTAGTAATTTTCTGTTTTTTAGCATTCCAATTTTTATTCTTAGATTCTAAAAACTCATATTTAGTTTTACCTTGTAAAAATACATCACCTTTTCTAGTTAATGTCTGACCCAAAGTTGATACATCATCTACAAACTCCCCATCTTTAACATTACCAATTTTACGGTTTAAACAATTCCAACTATCGTCTTGTAAATTTAAAGTAGGTTCATTACTAGCCCTGGGTTCTGTAGGCTTATTATATGGATTATATAAACGATAAAATTTATCTATAAACATATTTTTATTTAATAAATAATTCCACTTTCTCTTAATTCCTCAATAATGGAATCTATTTCATTATCCACTCCTGAGTTACCGGCTTCGCGACTTAGCCAAAGAAGTCTTAACCTATCTACAAGCTCATTAGGATCATCCCAATAAATATAGTCTATTTTATTACCAGTCACTTGTCTCAAACCTTCACCAACAGATTTAAAAAGAGGTTTAATTATATTAAGATATTTAGTATGTCTATTACTTGAAATTGGTGCACCATCTTTGTAACTCTTTAAATGTCCATTTGTAGCTTCCAAAATTTCTTTATAGTTTTGCAAATCAGCCGGAGTATAATCCTCAGGTTCTTTTAAAGTTAACAATTGCCACAAACCTTTTGTCCCCTTGTAGGTTTTATTTGCAATTGTAACATCATCATTGGCAATGTCAACTTCCTTATTTCCAATAAAAAATTTATTTGCTTCTCGTCTAATACCATATGTAGTGTCTGTCATACTACTTTTACTGAGGTAATTTCCTAAATAGTCTGATGCTAAAAGACCAAAATCTAATTTCTGTGGAGTAGATTGTTGTAATGGTTGCAATCTTGGTATTATTGGTATTCTAGATGGAGTCATTGGGAGAATCTCCATTCGAGGCCTCTCTGTTTTGGCAATTTTTTTTAATTCTTGTAATGGCTCTATTAAAGGTTGGAATGTTTGAAACCTCTCTTCAGCCTCTAGAAACTTGCCACGTTTTAAAGCTCTATATTTCTCTCGTATTTGATTTGCAGAGTCAACCAATTCTTGTTGAATGTTTTTCATCTTTTATTTACATTTTATTTATCTCATTTGACAAAGGATTGTACTCAAACACTTTATCATGTATTATCAAACAATATGCAGATGTATTTGCTGGTACATTTTCTGCAGTTTCAATCTCTAATTTAATATCAACAATTCCTTCCTTCACTGTTTCGTTCTGTCTAGAACAGTCTATTACAATTAGTGGATATTTCTTCATAAACTCAGCCCTACTAATCATAGGATCTGGGATAGTATT